CCATTTTTCGAGGTCAACAAGTATCATGTTTAATTGGTTTGGATCCCATATGAATGTGTCTTTTTAATCGAAGTTTTAATTGAATTAAATAAAACTTAAATTAATTTATTTTAAAACTGTTTGAGCTGATTTGTAAAAATTGAAACTTATATCAAGCCACTTCGAAACTTTTTGGTTTAGTTTGGTTAAAAATCAAAATGTTTACTATTCCATGTGGATTCAAACCAACGAAAAAGTAATTTCAGTTTGGTTTTGTGGTTTCATTGTTTAGCCCTCATTAGGACAAGGATAGAGATTTTTGTAATGGCAACAACTTCATGTGTTTAGGAGATGTCATTAACAATTGGGTTTTGAGAAGCCGCTTTACAGAGAGTTTGCCTAAGGAGCTAGGACACTTCCCACTAAGACGGACGATAATCAGAGTTCATTTGGTTATGAAACACAGGTGTCAAAGGCGACAACGTTATTGTCCTTTAGGATTAAAACTTAGTAGACTTGATATTGAATATGTTAGTTTCTCTATAGATTGAATGGAGCATCATTTGAAGGTCAAGAACATTAGTTCTTAAAATTATGATACCTCGATCAAAAGACGTTTATTAGTATCAGATATATTTTTCTTACTAAGTCTATTATAGTCCCTATTTGGTGTGGCTAAAAATTGAATTTTTAGTCAATTTTGATAAAATTTGTGGTTGAAAAATTGTGGATTCTTTGAAATATATGTGTTGTCCACGTAAATGTTAGCAAATTCCGGCAGGTTTTGACCGAAATACCGGTAAGAAGCGGGATGAACATGGACATGGGGAATTCTTTATGTCGTGAGGTAAAAGTATTCAAACACCGACATGTGGAACAATGTGATTGAAATTAATTATTGACATTGAATTAAACTTTTTGCAAGTTTTAAATTTACACCAACAAGGGCATAATATAAAGGGGGCATGCTTTTGAGCAATTACCCTGCTTGCCTCGTGCTTTCATCTAAATGGAAGGGTAACTTATGGGCTTTCCTTATACATAAAATGTACAATTCTTAGAGGGCCGCAACTTTCCTCGCATGGGGTCAAGAATCCATTGAGTGATGTTAAGCTTTCATGGCCTTAATTGGGCACCCAAAGCATGCATGAGGTTTTGGATAAAGCATTGTTGTGCTCTATGGGCTACTTTAAGGATATAGTAACACCTCTAACAAATATAACGACATGCATTAAGCTAAAATGCTTGTAGGAATTGACACATACAAGGATTGTGTTGTGGGACATGAGAATGACCCTCCATGCTTCGAACATGGATATGATAGCTCATTTCCAGCGAGTATGCTTTAAGAGGATGCGTATGTTGTGCATGAGCATGCGGGTAAGCCAGAAGATGTGCATTGCAAATAGGTGAACAGCTTGTCCACAAGTACAATGCATAGATGTGAAATGTAGTTGTGCGGTGTAATTTAGAGAGTCGACCCATGTCACATAGGGTAAATACATCAGGCACTTGTAAGTAAATTTATGTATTTCGACTTTACAAATTTTTTAATTTATAAAATGATAAATAAATAATGCCGGCTAAACCTACCTCATATAGCTTATAATTGCAAAACGGGGTGATTAGCACATACGTCCATACCTTTCATTTTTATTGTGAAAAATATCCATACCTTTCATTTTTTGGCATTTTCACTCTTATTTTCACTATTCATTATGCAAAATGTCCTTTTCATTCAATTTCCTAATTAAAAATCGTAAAATGTCTACTATACCTTTCTCTTTAAATAAAACAAAAGGAAAAAAGAAAAAAATAATTGCAATTATAGTCCCAATTTTTTAAAAAAGTGCAAATCAGTCCCAAATAAATTATTAAACGGGTAATTAGTACACAATGTCCCTACCATTCACCATTGTTGCGAAAAACGTCCATACTTTTCTTTTTTTAGCATTTTCACCCTTAATTACGCATTTGATTGTGCAAACCATCATTTTCATTCAATTTCTCAATAAAAAACTGTGAAATAATGAATATACACTCATATTTAAATATTTTTTTAATTTCTAATTTTTTAATAATTTATTTGGGACTCATTTGCACTTTTAATTTTTTTTAATTTTTAAATAAATTTAATTGAGACTCGTCTGCACTTTTTTTTATAAAAAATATTTTTTAATTAATTTATTGGGGACTTGTTTGTAATTTTTTTAAAAATTGAAACTATGGTTGTAATTAATTGTTTATTTTTTTATTTAAAAAAGAGCGTATATTTGTCATTTTACATCTTTTTATTGAGAAATTGGATGAAAATGAATAGAAATGATGGTTTGCGTAATCAAATGTGTAATTAAGGGTGAAAATACAAAAAAATAAAAATAAAATGTAGGATTTTTTTGCAATATTAGTGAAAGGTAGGGACATGCTAATTGCATTTTAGTAATTTATTTGCGACTCATTTGCCCTCTTTAAAAAAAATTAGGACTATGATTGCATTTAATTTTTTTTCTTTTATTTTATTTAAAGAGAAGTGTATAATAGTCATTTTACGATTTTTAATTGAGAAAATGAATAAAAATGACCTTTTGCGTAATGAAATGTGAAAATAAGGGTGAAAATATTAAAAAATGAAAGGTAAGAATGTTTTCCACAATAACGATGAAAAGTGGAGAACTCATGTGCTAATTACCCTTGCAAAAACTGATTAAAGGAAGATAAGCAGTCAAATAAATTCAATTAGAGTTTATATTCTAGAGGTGTTTATAAACATAAGGGGTAATTGGCGCAAAACGTCCCTACCTATGACGGGTTGTGTGGAAAACGTCCATACGTTTGATTTTTTGGTGCAGAACGTCCCTTATGCATTTTCTTGCGCAAAACGTTATTTTCCCTAATTTTTAACATAAAATGACCGATATACCCT